GTTGTTTTTATTTTTTCATCCGAAGAGGAAAGAGAAGAACCTTCGTATTCTTTCTTATTAGAGCCAGACAAATCCCAGCTTCATGGTGCAGATGTTTAGTAGTTATGGTGACAGTGATCTACCTCTGTAGCCAGGGTCAGAGATTCCCGGTACATTTCATAACATAAAGGGCACAATTAACAGGGATTTCCATGTTAGCAAAACGGAAAAATGGAGGTTGACTGAGAGTTGTTATAAGTTTTATAATGCCAGGCAGAGAACAAACATCTGCAATAGGAAGAAATCTTCGAAAATGTTTCCAAGCAACTAGTCTTGTTAGTTGGGTGTCCCCAGTAATCAAAGATGGTTAATCAAACTTGGTCGATAAGGGGGGCCATTTCGTTCTGGAGCTGATTCATCCCTGCAGAGACAGAAAATGGTCATGGAGACTTTAGACAGAGAAACAAAGTGGAAAGAATCAATAACTTACCGGTCATTAGAACTTGAACAGTTTTCTCTTGCAGGATCATTCCCTGCTTTCCAAAGATTACACATTTATATTTCCCACAATCATCCTCTGTGATGTCTTCCATGGTCAGAGTGAGGTCTCCAGTTTCCAGCAGGTTTTCATTCATCTTGGTTCCCTTTCTATTTGGCTGTTGTTCTTCAGATTGTTCAGATCCACTCTTCCTGTTGTCTACTACATGGACTATTCTATACGTGGGTTCAACTAGCAACCACTCGATTCTGGACTCATTCAGAAGATCAGTTTTAGTCTTGAAAGGAAGCGTGACACAGCCGTCCTCCACCTCCACCTGATGGTCTAAAGCCAGATCAAAACATATTTTATTATAAGAATTAAACAATCGTTACATCTGGTTTAACAGTTAAATTGCTGGGGGGTATATCAAGAGCAGAATAAAAGTCATAACATTACACCAGAAATTATAGAAAATGTTTCCAATTCCAAAAATCTCCATGGAAGCAGCTAGCAAAATGTTTTTAACCAAGTCGGTTCTCCCCCCACTCACAGCATTATGAAGGAAACATGGTCCTTTTTGTTAAAAAGACCAAGAAAAATATTAACCTGGAGGGACATGATCAGGAGGAACAGACCTCAAGCTCTGAACTCGAGATCTGTTTCATTATTAGACTTCTGTTCTAGTAATGGATTGTCCATAATGAACCTCATGTTCAAGCATAATGGTGTCCATTGTTACACTTGGCACCAGGAAACCCAAGGCTGGAGGTTGATTGGCTTTGTAGTCCTATCTTCTGATCTTAATCTGTATGCTTTGGACAATTTTGTTAAAACAGGGGAAGAGCTGTGCACTGCTCAATTCTATTCAGCTTATTTCTATAACTCCAATTCACATCATGTCATCTCAGGT